ACAGAATATTGATAGTAGTAAGAATAAATAACTATTTTCCAGCCTCAGGTGCCAAGTGGAATACAAGGCTAGTAACTTATACTGCAGTATAGCTTCAGGAAACATTACTGAGGTATATTAGAAAAGCATTCACAGCATGTAGGAAAAAACAGATTTAAATAATTATTATCTTTGGAAGACGTTAGGGTTAAATATTTGGATACCTATGCCTAAATATACTAAAAGCATATTTTGATGTAAAACAAGATCCCGAAATATTAGTGTAAGATTATTTGCATATAATTAGCTTGAGAAATTACTTGAGTTCTTCTGATCTCATCAGCTGCCAAAGAAATTAGAAATTTATTTGGAAGGAATCTGAGAGATTAAAATCCTGCCCTTATTTTTGGTAGCTCTTTATTTATTTCCAGAATATAATCAGCTCCAGTCAATTCTCTAAGATGTGTAGGGAAGATCAACTTTGAGGATGGAAAAAGCTTTTCCCCCCACACACCAGAACTTCCTTAAATTAGCTTTAATTTCAGTTGCACAGGGACAGTTTTAAAAGGTTTCTGCACATCGTTTATGGAGATTCTCAGTCATCCAGGTCATGATTGCCCAAAGGTGCTTTTTTCAAGAGGCAACTGAATGTTCTTGTTTTTTCTTTGAAGACATTTCACTTCTCACCCAAGAAGCTTCTTCATCTCTGACTGGACAGTGGAGAATGGAAGGATTTATATTCCTTGCAGATAGCTGGTCATTTGTATTCTTTTAGACAATTTTTGAGATCACTTGGAGGTTGGAGTCTTAGATGGCTTCTTTGATCCCTCTTTCCTATAGTCTGCATTTTTTCTAGAAACCCATTTGAAGGGTGTTAATCCCAAAGTGCATAGCTAAATATCTATGGAGATTCTCAATCATCCAGGTCGTGGTTGTCCCAAAGATGCTTTTTTCAAAAGGCAACTGGAATTTCTTGTTTTTCTTTGAAGATGTTTCACTTCTCATCCAAGAAGCTGAAGAAGTTGCCTCTTGAAAAAAGTACCTTTGGGTTTCTGCACATCTTTGTTAGCCACATAAAATTGGTTGTTCCAACCTTACATGATCCCTGACTGACAAGGCAAAACAGTGTTAAAATATCTGCCTATAAGAGAAGTCAGAAATTCTATGTCCATTAAGAATTTAAATTAAAGTTTGAAAGATTTAAGATCAGCATCTACAAACCAGTCACGTTTTCCCTGAGAAGAACATACCTTCCGAAGAACTTCACTGGTGTCCTCTATAGTTTAACAAAGCTGGTGGAACTTTCTTCTTCATAATAATAGAAATACTTAGCATAAAATACAGGGTGTCACTGAACTAAGAATTGTCATACTCATCTGAAAGAATATTATGATGAGGAGCTTCTGTACCTCTTGTAATATGTACAGTAGATTGCTTAAGATCATTCAGTGCTCTCAATCTGTGGTCCACAGACCCCTGGGGGGGACGACACAAGGTTATCACAGGGAGTTGGCCAAGGCTTGAAGAAATATTATGATTTAAATCTTGAGTTAAGTCTTGGGGGTTCGTGGCCATGATCCGTGGTCAAAAAAGATATTTAAAGGGTGTCTGTGGTGAAGGAAAGGTTGAAAACCACTGAGATAAGCCATTGTTTTGTAAGAAGGCTAATCGTTATTGGGATCAAGTATGTACTTTAAATCAGAGAGTTCTGAAAATAAACGTACAATTGAAACCGGAGGTTCATCTTTTAGATTTGATGGATTAGCAATTGGAAGAAAAAAAACTCTTTGTTTTTATATATTATAACTATGCAACTACTACATATAGATTTTTGTATGCCCAAAGATGGAATGACTTACAGATTTCCACAATGGAAGAATGGATGGTGAAGTTATTGGAACCAGCTGAAAGGGCAAAATTAACTAAAGAAAAGTCTTTGTCTAGCTTTGTGTCTATATGGAAACCACTTTTGGACTGAAATCTGAAAGAAGTGTTATATTAATTTTGGAATGTGACAGTTAGAATTGCTTATGATTATAGAAATACTGTTGAATTTTAGATAAAAGTGTTCATGTGTTTTACAGCTATCACAATATCGATAAAAGTTGGAAGTTAATTTCTTTTCTTTTTTCCCCATATTCCTTTTGAACCTTTACCTTTCTTATTTACTTCATAATTGTCCTTTCTTCTTTTTTACATTTTATCTTTTGCAGAAATATAATAAAGTACATTTCAAAAAGATAAGCCATTATTTAATCTGTGAGCAACTCAATGCCAAAGTAAAATATTTACAACTACATAAATGCCATCTACAATCCAATTGTTCTTCTCTGAATAGATTTTGTATACGGATACAAAATGGCAGGGTCAAATTTAGCCTATTGCCAAAACATTTACATTAACTGCTGGATATTTGTGTAATAAAATCATTGTTCTGTCCTAGAGGGTAAATGGGTAAAATCTCTTCAGCCTCTATCACATTGACTCAGAAATATTTAGCTATCACCCATCTTTTCAAAAAAAAAACCAAAAAAAAAAAAACCTTGAAAGTCACTTGATTTATTTTTTCCTCCTATTTATCTACTCAAATCTCAACACTTTCCATCTGCTGGGGGCATCAGACCCAAATCTGAACTGCCATATTTGGGTTAAGTGACCACTAGGTGGCAGCAAAAAGATTAAGGAAACTTCAGAAACTTGATAGCATCTTTTTCAACTAATAAACATTATGAAAAGGCTGCAGTTCACTTATCACATTTATGGAAAGGCTAAACTGATTTAAATAGCGATTTAATTTGAGATGAGGAGGGGAAGACAGATTAGAAGCACCTTATCAATGAACAATTGTTATTGTGTTCATTGAAAACTTTTGACATAGCCTGAAACCTTTTCACTTGAGTTCAGCAATTTCCTTCTCAAGCATGGTGCTAAAGTCTGTTTTTTTCCCAAAATGGTCATAATGAGATCTGTAAGAGTACGTTCTGGGATATTGATATCACAGTGTCTTTGTTATGATTCCTGATGGACTTGTGTCCGTTACTTTTTTGTGTGCAAAATTGCTCTTTTGTTGGAAAATATCACAGCAGTAGAAGGGCATGTGAAGACACCTTTAACGTTTTGTGTCTAGCTATTGGGGCCTGCAATAGTCTCTTGGTAGAGATGTGGGGGCACAGTAGACATCTGTATTTGTTGCAGTTTAATTCCCATATTAGTATCCCTGTTCTGCTATTAGTTATTTGTGATAATCTGTTGGGCAGTTGTCTCTATGCAAATATGGAATGCAGTGCCAGTATCTAGGTTGTAGGCCATTCATGAGTGGTTTGAACTGTGAGCTGTGTGGGTAACTATCACCAGTGTCTGCAGTTTTTGTTTTTTAATAGGTTCTCTCTCTGGGAAACATTCTGGTTCTATTAGTTTGTCTTTTGGTCTTGGTTGGATAATTCGGTCTCCTGAATGACTGGTTTAATTCTATTAATTGAGGATCTCTATCAAGCGGGTAAAACAAATGTATTTGTAGCCCACTGCCTGGTTTTATTCTATAGATAGGTTGAAACCAAGGATGATACTGGAACGGAAGCTACTGAAGTCTTGATGGGATTTGATTTTTTTCCCCAAGGTGTCGGATGATTAAATTGTTATTAATGAATTTCAGATAAAGACGGTTTTCCATGGAGAAGTGTTGTCTTAGATCAGCCATGAAGGTGTTGGCTGGGCAACTGATTTGCAAGAATATACTATTGACATCTACTAGACATTCAGTTGAGATGCAACAGGCCAATCCAAAACCCATTTGACTATAGAGATTCTCAATCAGATCAGGGTTGTCTCAAAGGTGCTTTTTACGAAAGGCAACTGGACTTTGTTTCTTCCTTGAAGACGTTTTGCTTCTCATCCAAGAGGCTTCTTCAGTTTTGACTGGATGGGGGGAACCCCATTCTTAAGAGGTCTGTAAGGGGCGTGCATAAGTGCACCATCGTGCCTCCCGTCCCTGTCCTATTGTCCCCATTTATTTGTAGCTATTTCTTTTATTCTTACTCATGTTTATACTTATACCTATTATCTTGTAAGCGATTGACAAATCAAAATAAATAAATACATAAATAAATTTATATTTCTTGCAATCATTTGGTTTATTAGCACTCTCTCTGAGAATCATTGAAGCCACTTAGGAGTTTATCTGTAACCGCAGGGTTATCCGAATCACAGTGCAAATGGGTGTGGAATCTTCTTGTAAGTGTTGAAAGGACTCCATTGTAGACAAGAGGTTGGTGGTAAATTATGCCTCCCCTCTAATGAGAGACAGCTACTCAGTTTTAACATAGATGGCCTCTTTGACCCTCCCTTTCAAACCAGTGGTCCTCTCAATTTATTCTTATTTATTTATTTCAAATTCTAACGTATTTTTAATTTTATTAAAATACTTATTAATACAAAAATACAAAAGAAAATAGGGAGGAAAAGGGAAAGTATGGGGCAAAGGGAAAAAAGAAAGAAAAGCTTTTGATTTTCCTTTGGTGCAGTAGAATAAGATAATAGCATCAAACCTCAACTTTTTATTTTTCCGTAATAATAGCAATAGCACCTAGACTTATATACTGCTTCACAATGCTTTACAGCCTTCTCTAAGCAGTTTACAGAGTCAGCCTATTGCCCCCAGCCATCTGGGTCTTCATTTTACCCACCTTGGAAGGATGGAAGACTGAGTTCAACTTTGAGCCTGGTGAGATTCAAACTGCCAAATTGCAGGCAGCCGGTAGGCAGCAGAAGTAGCCTGCAGTACTGCGTTCTAACCATTGCACCACCGCAACTCTTATAGTTTAAATAATATAAACTATGTTATCATCATCATTTTAGCCATTGTCTATCCACTGCATGTTACATATGATGTTACATATGTTGAAAGCAGCAAGATTATGGGCAAAAATGGGAGGAGACATTGATTCCTACAATGGATGAATGACTGTAAAAGTTGATGGAGTTAGCAGAGATGGTCAAATTGACTCTTCTGATCAAAGAAAAAAAATACAATTATTTTTGTTTCTACTTGGAAACCGCTTTGTGCTTGAGGTGGGGGAAAAATTATTTATTTATTTATTCTTATAAACAGAATGGCTGAGTAGCAGAAATGGTATTCAGCAGGTTCTGAGCAGTTCTGGAAAACCGGTAGCGGAAATTTTGAGTAGTTTGGAGAACCGGCAAATACCACCTCTGACTGGAGATTTTATAGTGTCCTTCCCCTGCCACCCCACCAATCCATGCCCACAGAACTAGTAGTAAAAAAAAATTTGAATTCCACCTCTGCTGAGTAGCCATTTCCAATGTGGAAAATGTCGGCTCTACCTCATGTGGTAAGCTTTAAACGCTGGGCTGCAAAATACCTATACCCTTTCAAAGTTGCCATTTTTGCAAAGGTTTTTGTAAGCCTTCTTAACTGCTGCTGTCACCAGTGTTGTTCCTACTACACCTCCTATCACACCTCCTGGTGAATGGAAATTAAAGCAAGAGGCAAGAGCTGACAGCTAGGTAGGAAGATTGTTTTGTAGATTCAGATTACTGAAGTAAAACTGTCTTTTTCTCTTAATCTGCTTTAACACTTAATTATGGAGCTGAAGTCCAAGAATGAATTCAGAGAATTTCAACAACATCTTTAACTTACGGTGTTTTTTCAGATTTAGCAATTGCATTTAAACAAAAACAAAAACCCACTGAATTTAAAAAGTAGTTTGCAACATATCCTAAGTTGTTAATTCAGGGGTCTTCAAACTTGACAACTTTAAGACTTGTGGACTTCAACTCCCACAATTCCTCCTCCAGTCATTGTTAGCTCAGGAATTCTGGGAGTTGAAGTCCACAAGTCTTGAATTTGCCAAGTTTGAAGACCCTTGCGTTAATGTATCAAAACTGATATACGAGGACCAATTCAATACATAGGTTTCCTTGGCATATTTTTGATATCATGGGTGTTTATATTTTTATACAGGTTAGGAAGCATTTATAGAATAATGGGTGGAAAAAATAAAACATGTAAATAAGCTTTGACAGGTACATAATCATTCCTGTCAAGCAGTGAATAGGCTTAAACAAACAAACAACTTGGGAAGCACAGTGTTTACCCACACATGGATACAATTTTTAATCAAATATGAAAGTGAATATATCCTCTTAGTGTTTTCAAAAGAAAAGAAAAGCAACAGCTGGTATCTCATCCCCATAAGTCATTCCCTTTAAAGCTTACCTTTCCTTTGCTGATTATGAAGAAAGTATCTCCTCGAGCACCTTGCCTGATAATGTGCTCTCCATTTTCATAGTGTGTCTATGAAGGGAAAATGCAAAAACAAAAGGAATCAAATCAGAATGTGTCACCTAAAATAAAACACCTTCACTGTTATAATGAAGAAAATATAGGTAGACCCGTCACAAACCCTGATAAATCTGTGTAAAGGTTAACTCTAACTGTAGGTAGAGTGCAGTTAGAAAAAGGTGCTTTTTCAGGAGGCAACTGGAAGGATTTATATTCCTTGCAGACAGCTGGTCATTTGCATCCTTTGGATGGAAATGACCACCTGACTGCAATGGAATCCTTCCATTCCCCACTATCCTGTCAGAGCTAAAGAAGCTTCTTGGATGAGAAGTGAAACATCTTCAAAGAAAAACAAGGAAGTCCAATTGCCTCCTGAATAAGAACATTTGAGGCAACCATGACCTGGATGACTGAGAATCTGTACAGACTTTTAACTATACAATTTGGGATGAACACCCTTTGAATGGTATGGGAGGAGGAATGGATCCATTAGCACTGCTCTGGTGACTCTGAGGACAGAGATAATCCTCTAAGTGCTTCAACAACCTTCTAAAAGGATGCAAATGACCAGCCCTCTGCAATATATATATATATATATATATATATATATAATGCAATATATATAATATATATCCTTCCATTCCCCATTATCCTGTCAGAGCTGAAGAAGCTTCTTGGATGAGAAGCGAAACGTCTTTGAAGACAAAAAACAAGAAACTCCAGATGCCTCCTGAAAAAGCACCTTTGGGACAACTATGACCTCGATGACTGACAATCTCTACAGACTTGCAATCTATGACCCCAACTGAGCCCAAATTGCTAAATGCAACATTTATTCAGTGAATTTTACCCAATTTTACGACCTTTCTTATCACAGTTGTTAAGTGAATCATTGTAATTGTTAAATTAGTAATAGGCTTGTTAAGTGAATCTGGCTTCCCCGCTGATTTGCTTGTCAGAAGGTTGCAACTGTGACTGTTATAAACACGAGTCAGTTGTCCAACATCTAAATTTTAATCACGTGACCACAGAGATGCTACAGCCATCATAGGTGTGAAAAATGATCATAAGTCACTTTTTACAGTGCCTTTGTTAGTTTGAATGGTCACTAAATAAACTGTTGTAAGTCAAGGACTACCTGTATTGAATTTTAGGTAAAAATGTTAATGCATGTTATGCTTGTAACAATATCAAGGAAAGTTGGCAGTTAATCTTTTTCTATTTTTTTTCTTTTCCTTATTCCTTTTGCACCTTCACCTTTCTTGTTTTCTTCATAGTTCTTTTTTATATTTTATCTTTTACAGAAATTTAATAAAGTATATTAAAAAAAACATAAGCCATTGTTTATCTGTCAGCAACTCAATATAAAATATTTATGACTACATAAAGGTAACCTACTATGCAAATATATATATATCATGGGGTCACTTTTTTTCAGTGCCATTGTAACTTTGAATGGTTACTAAACGAACTGTTGTAAGTCAAGAACTACCTGTACATCCAGCAGAAAACTCCTAAAAATATACTGACCACAAGCACGTTTTGACAGTTTATAATTCACATTCTGATCAACTGAGTGTTGATTATTGCTTGCAACAGGAATTGATAGATTGCTTATCACTTGAGCCTGACATTGAGGGCTGAGAAAGAGTGACTGTCCTGAAGATTCCTAGCCAACTTTCATGGCTAAAGTGGGGCTAGAAGTCACAATCTTTTCTAGCCTTATGCCTTAACCACTAGGTTTGGCTCTCTATCTTACGTTCTGGGATTATTTTGAAAAATCCTCATATGAAGTCATCCTTCCTTCCTTCCTTCCTTCCTTCCTTCCTTCCTTCCTTCCTTCCTTCCTTCCTTCCTTCCTTCCTTCCTTCCTTCCTTCCTTCCTTTCTTCCTTCCTCCCCCCCTCCTTCCCGTCCCTTCCCTTCTTCTGGAAAAATATATTATATTATGATATATTATTATTATAACATTAATAAAATTTATGTCACACCATATAGGTGGTTATATTATGTTACAACCAGGGGTGGTTCTACTGGTTCTACTGGTTCAGACCGGTTCTATAGAACCGGTTATGATTCTGCACAGTTCGGAGAAACAGCAAATCATGCCCCTGGCTGGCCCTTCCCCTCTCCGCCTGCCCCTCCCTTCCCAGTCAGTCCATATCACGCATGCACGACATTGCGTGCATGCCCAACATTGCTGACCGCGTTCTTCCCTGCCTAGTCACTGCTTAAGATATTTCTTTTTTCCCCTCTCCCAACGATCATCTATTCCTATGATCAGCTATGCCGGGATTCCCCTTGCTTACTTACTGCTTGACCCAGGAGGCTTCCCTGAGGACCAGGAAGGCAAAAAATGGAGGGGGGCACAACACCTCCCACCCCCTCCATTTTTTAGCTTCCTGAGCCCCAGGGAAGCCTTCTGGGAGCAAAAATGCCCCCCAGGAGGCTTCCCTGAGGCCCAGGAGGCCCCAAAAATGGGGGGCATGCTGCCAAAAAAGCCACAGCCACCCAGTCACATGGCCATACCACCTAGCCACAGCCAACTAGCCATACCCACAGAACTGGTTGTTACAAAATTTGAATCCCACCCCTGCTTACAACCTAAAAGAAAACTTTTATAAAACGATGTACTGTTTATATATGATTTCAGGAAAATGTCGAGAATGTATGAAAGAACACTTTTATAAAACGATGTACTGTTTATATAGGATTTCAGAAAAATGTTGAGAATGTATGAAAGTACTTCAATTTTTTGTTGGAAATGTGCACAACATGAAGACATGTTATTGTACCTGGTGGACTTGTAAAAAGTTCAGAGATTTCTGCATTGAAATATATATATAATGATTGAAAAAATGTTAAAGATAACTATTCAGCTGAAGCCAGAACTTTTTTTATGGGGATTATTAGACACACAATCAATAATGACATTTATTAGTAACTGAAAATCCTGTATGGACATTTTATTGAAAATAGAAAAAAATGAACCACGGTCAAAAGGATCAGAATCCAATTCTTTATCTTTTTTTTTCATTTATTTTCTTTCTCACTTATTCTTATTCTCTCTTATTTATTTATTTTCATTTTTTAATAGTTAGGGTTCTAATAGCATTTTTTTTAAACGTATTAAAAAGTAATCCTGAAGTTGACATTTCAAATGGAAGGATTATTTATTTATTTGTATCTCACTTTTATTATTTTTACAAATAACTCCAGGCAGTGAACATACCCAACACATCTTACTGTACTTGTATTTTTCCCACAACAACCCTATGATGTGAATTGGGTTGAGAGAGAGTAATTGGCTCAAAGTCATCCAGCCAGCTTTCATGGCTTAGGTGAGACTAAAACTCACAACCTCCTGCTTTCTAGCCAGGAACTTTAACCATTAGATCAAACTGGTTTTGCATTATATGGGCCTGCCAGGCTCAACTACACAGACATACACACAGAGGCTGTGGAAGTAAAATAATTTGACTTTTCGAAAGCATCTGATAAACTCAGCTTTAACCCTCAACCACAACCCTACCTCAACCGATCCACCATCACCCAAGACTAGGCATGCACGCCCCTAACTACCTCAATTCCAACTACTACTGGCCTTAAATGCAAACTACTCAATGCAAGAAGCCTCGTGAATAAAATACCTGAATTTTTCCTCCTACTAAATATGGCTAAATTCGACATTATATTTGTCTGTGAAACATGGCTCAATGCATCTCTCCCTGACTCCATTACCACAGTAAGGGACTATCATGTTTACCGATCAGATCGTGAAATTCGTAGAGGTGGTGTTGCTATCTTCTATAAAAAGTCCTTACATCTAAAAAATATCCAAGTTACCCAAGAGCTTGCTCTTCCTGAGACCATCATCTGTGAACTATCCTTAAATATCACAATTCGATTCTTACTATGTTACAGAGCACCTGATTATGACATCGAACATGTAAACAAGCTAAATACATTACTAACATGGGCTGCATCCTGCCCATACCCTTTTATCTTTCTTGGTGATTTCAATCTACCTCATATTGACTGGACCCTAAATGAATGTACAACTGAAATCATACACACAACCTTCTACAATGCTATTACAAATCTGGGACTGGAACAACTAGTAACCAACAACACTAGACTAAACAACTGCCTCGATCTCATCTTCTGCAATAGTTTGAATTTAATTTACGGAATACAAACTAAAGAACCCTTTTCCACCAGTGACCACAATATGATTGACTTTTGTCTCAACATACGCCCTCTCAAAAATCACCACAATGATGTAATCCCCAATTGTAACTTCAAAAAAGGCAACTATGATCTTATAGACAATGATCTCTCATCCCTTGATTGGCAATCTCTATTCACTGGATGCAATACTGTTGAAGACCATTACAACATATTTTTACTTGAAGTCAAAAGAGTCATCAAACTATATGTACCAACAACAACTCCCAAAACAAAACAAAAAAGCAGATTACCCATAACAATAAGGAAACTTCAATCCAAAAAGAGATCACTCTGGCGGAAAAACAAATCTGGTCACGTTGCCAATTTCAAAAGCCGATACAAAAATTTATGCCACCAGATAAAGACCGAATGCACCAATTATCACATTAAACAAGAGGAAAACCTTCTAAGCACCAATTCCACCCGTGCTTTTTACAATTTTGTAAACAACAAACTAAAAGACTCAAGGTCCATCCCACCCTTGATAGGACCTGATGGTAAAGACTGCAACGACGACACCATTAAAGCCAACCTCTTTAACACATTCTTTGGCTCAGTATTTGTAAACAGCAATGGATCATGCCCAGTATTTACTAGCCGTACCACAGATAACAACAATGATCTAATACATATCGATTTTACAGAAGACAATGTTGAAAAAGCACTACGCAATCTAAAACCATCTCTATCTATTGGACCGGATGGAATATGTGCCTACTTCTTAAAAAAGCTATCCACTGCCATAGCCAAACCTCTAAGCATAATCTTTGAAAAATCTTTCAG